ACCGGCTTCCTCTTTGCCGCTTCGGAGTTCGGCAACCACGCCCTTTATCAATTCGCCAGCTTGGGCGATGTTACCCCGGCGTTGGTGACATCGTCTCATCCTAATAGGGAGAATGCGGTGGTGGCGTTCAAGCCGAGAACGTTGAAGAATTTGACGCCTTTCGATGAGCTCAGCAGTCTGGCCCCTATCACGGATATGAAGGTCATGGACTGCTTCAGCACGCAGACGCAAGTGCTGCAAGCTGACGGCAGTGGTATGCAGCAGACGGTGACCACTGGGATGTCCGTGGGGTGTCAAATTTACGCCCTGTCGGGTCGGGGGCCACGCTCAGCGTTGAGGATACTGAGGCATGGTCTGACCCTCGGGGAGGCGGGGGCCTCAGAACTGCCTGGACAGCCTAATGCACTGTTCACGATTAAGCCCTTCGGGGCTAGCTACGCACCGGTGGCAGAGGGAGAGGTGGAGTCTGACCGCTACATCGTCGTGTCGTTCGTGGACCAGACGCTGACCTTGTTGGTGACTTCTGATAACATTCATGAGGTTACTGACTCGGGGTTTGCTAAGGAGCAGCCGACCCTCTTCGCAATGAGGATGCAGGATAAGAGCGCTATCCAGGTGGGGCTACTGTCGGGCTGGTTCGATGATCGACTGAGAGGCTTCTCTTTAGGTTATGCCCACGGGTATACGTCATGTCGCGGCAGGCAGAAGGACCACGGAGTGGAGGGCCCCGCCGGGCCGGCAGGTTACTATGGCCGCTAGCAACGGCTCGCAAGTTGTCATTGCTCTCTCGGGAGGAGAAATACAACTCTTTGAGCTTGATGCTGATACTAATGGTCATCTCAGTGAGGTTGCCAAACGCGACATTGGGTGTGAAGTGGCGGCCTTGACGGTTCAACCATTGTCATCTGGTCGAACTCGGAGCCAGTTTATGGCAGTAGCAGGAGTGGATTCCTCGGTTCGCGTCCTTTCCCTCGATTCGGACCGTCCACTGCGTCAGCTGGCCG